TCTCTTTGGTTTTAAATATCCCTTTACCAAAAATATCTATTAACACTTGTAAATTAATTTTTGTGTTGTTATTCGGTTTACATTACCAGAATAGTTTTGAACAGCATACTTTGCATTAATATAATTACTAAACTAAAATTAAATAGTTTTATTTTTTCCCAATGTTAACACATCTTTGTTATTAACATGTTGTTCTGAGAAAAAAATAATTATATACTCCAATCGGCCGAAGATCCTAGTTTTTATTATTATTATTTTGTTAAGAAAAATTAAGATGAAGAAATTAATACTTGTACAACGAAAAAAACGTAGTTTCGTTACGCTTCAAAAAAAAAAAAATGTTTTCTTCTTTAATCAGATAGTAATTTAAACTCCGAATAACAGATGCCTGGGCCTTTAATTAAACTTCATATTTAGATAACCCGGAATGAGCAAAAAGTTTACATTATACAATATTTTTCCTCTTTGCCCTCTAGCCGTTGCCGACGTTTTCTCGCCATCCGAAGTCGAGAAAAGTTTGACCAAAGTTTTGTTCGGGTTAAGAAGTATTGTTCCGGTGTAAAATTAACGCTAGGAGCTCATCAATATATCCGTCCGGACTCCGGTCGTTGCACGAACAAGATAATAATTATTTATATTATCTTTATCAACAAAAAAACGAAATGATCTGCTAAAATAAAATAAGATGATGGTTACAAACGGATCTGATTTATACTAGTGATATTCTACTGGACTATACAGAAATCTACTATTTGTTACAGTAAAGCGTTTAAGGGCTATTTACCATAAAATAAAAGCATTATCTCCCTTCAGTATTACTTGAAAGTTCTATAAAGAAATGCATTGCAACTATCTACGCAAAAAAAATTAACATTTTTACGACGGTTTTTACTGCGGACTAAAACCGTTTGATTGGAACAAATACACAATTTCTTGGAAACCCACTTCAACAAATAATATATCAGTTCGCACTAGATTAAAAAAAAGGACTATTTTATGCAATTCGTTTAATGTTTTAACGTGAACGAAACCTATCGCAGTAATAAAACGTGAGCCTAGTTGTCTTCCATAGATTATTATATTGAATATATTGTGGGCTTTAAACATAACTGTTCGTTTCCTAAGTATTACCGTCAATATTACAGAACATAATATGGTTTTTATTTGTTCATTTTTGGTTTTTGTAAAAAAAAAAAATATGAGCGCCTTGTTTGTATTATCGTTGTTGAGACAGAAATTTATTATGATATATTTGGATTTTGTTGTCAGCTTTTTTTTCCTACATTGAAGAGAAATAAATGATTTATCGACACAGTCACAGCTAAAAAAAAAATGTCAATGTTTCTCCCTTTTTTTTTTTTTAGTTTTGCTTGGACCAAAAGTTGCGCGTTTCATCATGAATTTCGTTTCAAAATGCAGTGTGTTGTTGTTTTCAGAATCCCATCGAAATCGACACGAAAATGAGGGGAAAGAATAATGGGGAAACACGAGATAAGAGAGTAGTAGAATAGAATCGGTGATCGATAGGGACGAATCAGATCAAATCAACTAATAATAGGGATAACTTTATTGTATTAACGATGAGTCGACAAGGAAGGCCAAGCTAAAGCTGTATAAAAGTCGTTTTTTCGGTTACAGTATTATTTTCGATACTAAATATGAAATATGCATTTCGTATAATAATACTATTTGTTGTTGACTGTTGGATAATAATTATCACTAACGCACAAACCAAATCGAAAATTGTATATATCAGCGTGATAAGTTATGTTTGAAGTCTTGCGCCAAAATCGAATTGGGTGCATTTAATTTATTTAGAGAACTCGTAACCTACCTACAGGCGTATAAATATATATAGGCTGACCTACTTTGTACGTGAAGTATGCAAATAAGATTGCCACGGGTATTGGTTGATCTGTAATAATAATATAACATTTATATATATTATATATATATATATATATATATATATATATTGTTTAACCGTCTTGACTGTAACGTTTTGTCTGCCGGTTTTATCTGCTTGTGGCCAAATCTCAGAATTTACGACCTCCGCCGTTGTTTTCGTGCATCCAACGATCGGTATACAACGTTAAGGCAAACCAAACGCCATTACACTGCTCGCATACAGAATATAATAATATCATGCTTATTCAATATTTATACCCCGTTGTCGAATTTATCTTGGCACAACTGCGGCGGTTGAGTTAGTTAGTTTATTACTTATAATAATATACGCTTTGTGGCGTAACGAACAACCGATGTCTGCACTGGTATCTCTCTGTTCGATTTCCTCATCAATACCACCTAAGTGCACACTTTAACATAATATTATATTCATTTATACAGCTATTGGCATATTATTTACAGACATCCTCGGCGCTGTCTTACGTTAAGGAGTTTTCGTCTGCAGTATCACTATAAAAACGTTATGGCTAATAGTTTGGTACGACCCAGGAAATAAACTGCTTTCTCAACGCACTCCATCTACCTCTGTTGTATAGACTGTATCACTACTTAACTAGCACGTAAATCAATTATTTTATTTTGTTCAAAAGCTATGTACTATTTTCATTGTAGCTACGACCAAAGAAAAACTATGTTATAAAAAAAAAGGGATTCATAGATTGTTTGTGAACGGTAGAAATAATATTATAATAATGGGCATTAAAAAATTTAAGAGGTTATTTGCCTCTGATCCCTAATTATACCACTCTCGTTATAGAGAGGAGGTTAAAACCATAGTGGTGTAAGTTACATTCACTTCCAGTCTTCTTCACTTTTTCCCATACAAATCAAGTCGTCCAGCCAAATCCTCTTTCTCAAATTTACATACGAACTACATATTTTATTATATTTATTTACTTAAAATTAATTATTTTTAGTAAAGAGTTACATTTATAAGACTTTTTAATAACACTGCACGTTTGTTATAAGCATATTGTAACAACAAAAATGTTGATAATTATAAAATAATAATAATTACTATATTAATATAATAGAATGAATAATCCATATTTTCCATGCGGCGGTGGTTTTGTTAGTTTCAACAATTAAAAAAAGGTATTATCGCCAGTAATATCTATAGCATACCTAATTTTTTTAAACTTTTTAATCAGTTTTTATTTTGGCAGTTTTCATAGTATAGTAATTCTTGGTAATTACGAAAATTATAAGTTTTGCGTGAGATTTTTTTTTTAAGATTAACTAACTTTCTTCAAACACTTTATGTTAATTACGGAAATTATCTAACAAAGAAATTATATTATGTGGGCAATCGCTTATTCTTCTGTTGAGAAACTACACGGGCCGTAGGGCGCATTGTAAAATGTTAAGCTAATTTTTCTCAGTTGTATGACAAGCGGCTTAATTTTTCACTTTTTCCCCGGCCATGATTATGGTCAGCAGGTGCGCACTTTAATGAGCTACGGGCTGCGGCAGAGGAAACCCGTCAAGAAACAAGTATTTGGCAGGTCAAATCGAACAAAAGAAGAAAAAAAACAGCTAACTGTGCGCGCAGAGATATTTAGATAAAGTAGTATTACTTAAATGTATGCCCGAAATTGCCTGTTGTTAACGACCGCACGCAGGGCTCGGGCTGTTGGGGATTTGCTAGCAATAAATTCCGGTGAGCTAAAAACCGGGGAAAAAGCTAATTTTTTTACCACACTCCGTGACGTTGGAGTGTGCAATCAGCGTGCTGGGAAAAAAATAAATCACCGTTGTGGTGTTTTTTTCCGCACCCTCCGTCCCAGTTTATAATGGTACTAGATGTACTCACAGCGTGTTTTCACTCGGTGATGGCTACCCCGTAGGACGGGGACAGAGGAGATTTTGTATGTACATAGAAAAAAAAAACCCTCTGAATATTTTGTAAACGCACCCAAAACGGAAAAACAAATGCCCCAAAAAATTATAACGCAAAATAAATAATTCAAACTAACACGAAAAGTTCATTTCATTTTCTTTCATGCCAATTACATTGCATTTGAGATAAACGAAATCAATGTAGTTTGAGCAGGACCACGAAAATACATTTTTTAAATAATATTTGTAGGGTTATAATATTTATAATATTATTAACACCCAGCATATCGTTCTATTGTAATGTCCGTAGAAATTGTTCTTTTCAAGACGACGTCACATTCCATATTATTTTATTAAGGGTTCGGAATGAATCATTTCTTACAAAAATGTAATTTAGAGCTTTACTAGAGCTTAATTTAGAAGAAAAATTTTACATAGAAATTAATTTTTTTTCTTAGACCATCAGTCTTAATAAATAACGCTTTTTTAAATTAAAAACACAAACCTTTGCTTTTTAAGCAAAATAATTAAAAAATAGAGGTGAAAACAATTTTTCTAGTGTCAGTCATTTTCTCTATGAATTCTAAAAAAAGGTTTTAAAAATTGTACGTACAAGGTTTAACACTTATTTCATTTACATATTTATATATTAGTTATATTTACAATAAATTACACACATTTTTTTTCCATTTGTTTTTGTTTCAAATTTATTTATAAGAAAATTTATGAATTTTTAGTGCCTGAACGGTGTATTCAAATTTCATGCGTCTTGTCTCCAAAATAATATTTATACTATAGACTCAAATCTATTAGTGATTTATGCTAATATAAGCAACCCAACGGACATTAACATAATAGCTGTTATGTTTCATTATGAAGATAATTTCATATAATATGTTTTTCTACCTTAACGTCACATCATCAACTTTATGATAATTTTTTTACTGAATTAATTAAGTCAATATCCCCAATAATTTTATTTGTGAACATGACATGTTAGTAGAACGATACAATATATCGTCAATATACTAAATAGTTAATTACACGATTGGAGTACACCTTTAATCATAGAGGTTAACTATATATGTATTTTTGTACTCCAAAAGTATAAATAATTTTTTAAAAAATAGATAATTTATAAGATTCTTGTGTTTTTATGAGGTTATCAATGATTTATTCTGTTTGTATTCTAGTATTGTTCCATCGGGCCATCCTGCTTAGTGGATCTCCACTCAGTCCATTATCGCTGGTCAGAGATCCAGTGTACTATGGTCATCAGGTTGCCAAACTAGTCAACTGCTCACCCGACATGCCGCATTTGCATCTTCTCAACTGTTTACGAGACAGGCCACTTGAGCAACTTATAAGCGCTCAGATAAATGTACCTGAGTTTACTACTGCATTTGGCCCCAGCGTAGACGGAGTTGTCATAGATGTAGGGACATCCGAACCTAGCCGGCACACAGCTCAATCAAGTATGTTATTTTTATTAAAATAACCAACGAAAATATGAAAATAGTTACATCTTAAAATCAATACTAAATTACTGTTGTAAATAAAAAAAAAGTTAATTGTTTGTAAAAATTACTATACAAATATTTTGTTTATACTGAGTACCTAATTTAATTTTTATCATAAAGGTAATAATTACAATAGTACATTAATATTACTATTTCGGTTAATCTAATTTGTTTACCCGTGGTTAAAAATATCACACATTGTTTACCTATTATTCCATACCTACACAGTAAATATTCAAAACAATAATTATTTCGCTTTAAAAGGATCTTATTATGTAGGGTGAGTTAATACAAAAAACAGGTTAATTTAAGTCTTAGAAAAATCTGGTTCCGAAATGGTTTATAAAAAAAGCCTCTGAAATATATTATACGTTTCATTGTACAAAATGAAAATATTTTTAAATAGTGTAAGTTCGTGTACAATGTTTTGCACGAGAAACATTTTAACGTTTAAATTAAACAGTATCAGGTACAGTTTGCAACGTTAAATTTAACAAAACGTTTTTCCCGTTTTTTTTATACATTTCGCTTTGCATCGTATAAAATTATTATGTACTTGAAAATTATTTTAAATTTTAACCTGGCGGGATAAATTGTTGCTGCTTATCACTGATAAAGTAGTTTATAAATATTTTGTACGTTGTAATAGTGATTACATTGTGTGAGCAAAGCAGCATTTCCATAAGAGGGTTCTGTCATAGTTAAGCCTGTAGTAGAATATATTAAGCTCTATAGAAATAAAATAGAAAATAGTGTACCAAAATACAGACTTGGACTTAGTAACGTGTATTCTGAAAATGTGGGGTTCCGTTAGAAACTTAATCCAAAGTGCAAGAAACTCGACAAGGTTTTGTTTATCCCGAGAGAACCCTTACTGTTCATGCTAATGGGCCCAGAGAGGTATCGACGGGTCGACCTGAATAATAGGATTGGGTTCGTAATGCGCGAAGTTTTGAATAAGCGAATTTTATGTGAATAAAAGGTCGATCGGCGATGATAATATGACGCACAGTTAAAGTGAGTCTGCTCAGGTCGAATGAAATACACTTGAGATTGGTTCTTAACCATCGGAAAAATAGGTATACCGAAAAATCGAGACTTCCGAACGAAACCGAAATCTGCCTCACCGAGTATTTTGAATTTCGAGGGCCTGTTCATTACAAACCACGAGCAGTATAACAAAGGGAAATACAATTAATTCAACTTTGACACGGTAGTAAGGGGGGGTTGAAGAAAATAGCTAAAACCGGATTAAAAGTTGTGGTTTTTTTATTAACTTTGAAAACAATATGGAAATATATTAAGTGAATACGCGGGACGGCGGCGGATGGCAGTCGCGGATCAATGTTAAATTAATAACTGATTATCGGATTGCCTACAGTGGTCATCGCCGCCGTGTTTCGCTGTCAAGATGACACCCCCCGGACCTCTTCATACACCGACGGCCGGCTCGGGCCGATATAGTAGTTTATCGTTCCCACCTGCGGTGAGACGGTGGACAGTTGATAACACGACCGGGCGCACATTTAATCGCTAATAACGGAAACATGCACTTGCAGGCCGTGTCAACCCTCCCCCACTAAACGGTCCAACCGGTGAACTTAATCGGTGTCTGTTCCTCCCTGTCTTTCACATCTCCTCGAGTGACATCGCTGAAACCTTTTCAGGCAAGCGGGCCATCAGAGCACTCGCATCGCACCGGTGACCTGGTGGTCAAGGGCGGGCGTAGTAGAACTGAGAAGGAGGGGACAGGGAAAGGAAAGAAGTTAGGAGGCGGTGTCTGACGGTGGTTGGAGGAAGATGTCGATTTCCTCGATCGTATGGTCAACTTGACCATCGACGGTGACGTCCATCACTGCATCCTCTTCCTCCTCTGCCGTTGGTGTTACCGGGGCATGTGTCCTCGGTGTGGGGATTGGTTGCCTCTTCGCCGAGGTCTTCCCTGGGTCGGCCTGTGGCGTTGGTTTCTCCAACCGATGTTGCTGGGATATCCGACTCCTTTCTTCCCGCTTCACCTTCCTCATCGCCTTTCGGTACTCGTTGAGACGGATCATCCTCTTCCGTCTCGCCGATACCGTGTTGTTGTCTAGTTCCGTGCTCGTGACTGTGGTCGGAGCTCCGGCAGACTGGTTTGCCGTGGACACAGCTCCAGTGTTCTGGACGGCGGAGTTGGATGGCGTTGCCAAAAAGTTGGAGGCGCCCCTAGGCGTCATGTGGCGTGGCGCAGTTTGTGGCCACGGGGACCTGCCAGCGTAGGGCGTGGGCTGACGCGCCGTAGGTCGCGTTGGCGGCTGATTGATTAGTGGAGGTGGTGCCGGGACGCTGATCATGCAGGCTTGCCACCCCCGGGTGAAGGCCGCCCACAAAGCGGGGTGCTTCTGTAGCTCGCTTTGGGGAGCTGTGAGCACTTGCTCGGGCGTTAAAGTTGAGCTGGGTATGGTCGCCCCAAACGACTGCAGCAGCTGTTGCCCACGAAGGTGGTGCTGCACCATGATTTGCAGGAGGTTGCTGCTGTTGTTCGGTCTGGTTGATTGAGACATACTGAAAATTGTACAAAATATTAATTGACGCAGTCTCAATATCTTCTGCAATGAGTAAGCTAATGAGGCCTGTTAAGGTCCTCCTTACCCACCAGATGAGACGATTTCAGACACGAAACGTGAAGTTTCCGGGGTGGTCGCTGGTCAGTGAGGTAAACACCTGAGCTCAAGCGTTCCGCCAGTCGGACAGGTCCTAGCCATTTCGGCGCGAACCCCGCATGGAAACCTTTGTCAGCGTTCGATAAATGATGAGCCTTGTAATACACCCAGTCACCAGTCGAAAATTTTGATTTAATCGGGGTGACTGGTTTTTGATTTTTTTCGTGATTTTCAAAGGCAACTGTCTCTTGCCCTCGTCTATGTCGGTTGATCTCCACCACGGGAATGACGGGAGGTTCAGATAGGGCCCAATCGCCGGGCCGTCTGGCTTCTCTGCCGAGTACCAGAACCGACGGTGGGAAACCTGTAGCCTCGTTCAGTCTATTCCGAATAGCGAAGAGTATCGACGATAGCTTAGTGTCCCAAGAGCGATGACTTTCGTCCACGAGGTGTGCACGTAGTCCTTTCTTCAGCTCTTGGTTGCGACGTTCGACGGGGTTAGCTCGTGGATGGAACACCGGAGTAGTCCACCCCTCCGCCCCCCATCGGTCGAGTGCTCTGAGCATTTCTTTCGAAGTGAACTGAGTCCCGTTGTCACTAAGGCACACTCGAGGGTACCCGAAACGTGAAAAGAACTCGCGTTCGAGAGTTTGGATGATTACATTAGCGGTGGCCGTACCTAGCGGGTAGGCTTCGACCCATCGGCTAAAGCAATCGGTGACCACCAGTATGCATGTTTTACCCCTACCTGTTCTTGGATAGGGGCCCATAAGATCTATACTGATGACTTCCCAGGGTTGTCGGGGTTTCCTAGGTTTGAGGGGATTCTCTGGTTTTGCGTTCAGAGGTTTAGTACAGGCACATATGTGACATGCACCTACGTATTTCCTAATATCCTCTTTCAAACCTTTCCAGTAAAACCTAAGTCGTACGGCCCTGAAAGTCTCTTTCCAGCCTGGATGACTGGCTAGAGTGTGGTCATGATACCACCAGATGATTTGTTGGATTTTGTCAAGTGGTATTACGATTGGGGGCAACGAGGAGGAGCAATTTTCGATATGTTTCCGGAGAAGGCCATTATTTAAGATGAATGATTTTTTTAGTGCTTTTGACCTTCTGGTATTGTTGGCTGGACAGTCAGAGGATATGTTTTCTTTTATGGAGCTAACATATAGATCATCTGATTGCCAAGCTTTCAAAACCTCTTCGGAAATAGGTGTATCGATTTGTTCTACCTCTTGTTGTGTCAATGAAAAGAGTCTATCAGGGGTACCATGTGAATTGTTTTTTTGTGTTTTTAGTGAAGGTACTCCTAGTAGGTTTTCATCGAGTTGGTCTTCGTTGACTGGCGGACCATCGGATGGGTACCGGGATAACATGTCAGGTGCTTGATTAAGGCGCCCTGGCACGTGTATCGTTCGGAAATCCAAGTTACTTAGTTGTAACGCCCATCTGGTTAGTTTAGACTTTTGGTCTTTGGTCTTATGCAGCCAAGTCAACGCCGAGTTATCAGTAAGGAGTTCGAAAGGTGCTGTTTCTAAGTAGGGGCGGAACTTATCGACTGCCCAAATTATAGCTAAACACTCTCTTTCGACTGCAGTATAACGCTTTTGTGTCTCGCTCAACTTTTTGCTTGCGTAGGCAATGACCTGTCTTTCCTCCGGGCTGTCACCCCTTTGGAAGAGAACAGCTCCGACGCCTATTTCGCTAGCATCAGTTTGGAGGTGGAATGTTTTACTGTAGTCGGGAGAGCTTAGTTTTGGGGAGTCGTACAGGGCCTTTTTAATGCTTTCAAAAGCGTTCTGTTCGTTACCTGACCATTTCCACTTTTCACCTTTTTTTAGCAGTTGTGTTAGGGGTGCAATTGTATCAGCATAGTTATCTACAAACTGGCTATACCAATTACAAACGCCTAAGAACCTACGAAGCTCCTTAATTTTGCGGGGAGTTGGGAAGTCCCTAATAGCTGAGAGTTTTTCGGGTTGTTTTTGTATTCCCTCTGCATCCACTAAATGTCCAAGAAAAGAGATTTCGGTTGTCCCTAGTCTACATTTCTTGGGGTGGCATGTCAGTCCATGTCTGCTCAGACGTTCAAGGACTTTAGCTAAGTGGTTTAAATGGTTGCTAAGGTTATCTGAATATATTACTATATCGTCGAGATAAACTTGAACAAAATCATCTATGTACCCTCTTAACACTTCGTTCATGAGCCTAACAAAAGTCATGGGGGAATTCTTTAAACCGAAAGGAAGAACTCTGAACTGGTAGAGACCTTTGCGAGTACGGAAAGCTGAGTACTTCCTAGAATTGGGGTTC